AGCGAGAGAGAGAGAGAGAGAGCGAGACAGGGTCACATCACAGTGGAGTCTTTTTTAGTCGCGGCTTGTGTACTGCAAATACATAAGAGCTTCATCACTGTGTCTGTCACGCGACTCTGTTCCCCTTTCGGGCTCTGTCTTTACGTTTATTTTGAAAGATGAAGCTCGCGTTTATGGTAAGGGGCGTTACATTTCCGACACGTGCTTGTGGTGTTCGGCCAATCACAATGCACTGGTTCAGCTGGCCAGTCAGAGCAGACTGTGCTTGTCGGAAGGCGGGACTTTGTAGAAAACGAAGCGTTTGAGAGAGGCGGGGCATAGAGGACCTACAATAATGTACAGTATTTGAAAAATAATGTGTTTTTTGAACATTAAAGCATGTCAACATATTCTGTTACACCAAATACACAAAATAATGATCTTTAAAAAAGCATCATATGACCCCTTTAATTGAATTTGAATATAAAAATACCTATAGCCTATATGTATATGTAGTAAGACAAGAAATGTTACAAGTAACAATTGGAACAGATCTAGTGTCTCATAAATGTGACCCTGGACCACAAGATCAGTCATAAGGGTCAATTTTTTTGGAATGGAAATTTGAAATGGAAATGTATACTTCATCGTAAAGCTGAATAAATAATGAATAAATAAGCAGTCCATTGATGTATGGTTTGTTAGGATAGGACACTATTTGGCCGAGATACAACTATTTGAAAATCTGGAATCTGAGGGTGCAAAAAATTCAAAATATTGAGAAAATCGCCTTTAAAGTTGTCCAAATGAAGTTCTTAGCAATGCATATCACTAATCCAAAATTAAGTTTTGATATATTACTGTAGGAAATTTTCAAAATATCTTCATGGAACATGATCTTTACTTAATATCCAAATGATTTTTGGCATAAAAGAAAAATCGATAATTTTGACCCATACAAAGTATTGTTGGCTATTGCTACAAATATACCCCGTGCTACTTATGACTTGTTTTGTGCTCCAGGGTCACAAATAGCCTATGTACTAGTATGTAATAACAAGACATTAACATACTAGCCAATGGACAAAAATGCAAGGCTGTAACCATGTCTTGAAAATTGTAATGAATGTAGAAAGTAAATTATAGAAATTTCTTTCTTTTTTTTTTTAGGTGAACTATGTTTTGTAACTTTTTGAGCACACCTGACATTTGAGGGTTTCTTGTCTACATTAAAAAATTAGAATTTAAAATAAAATGTTTGTTTTATTACATGACTGCTAACCATGACCTAAAAACACATTTAAGTGCAAGCCACACATATTCTATGGACGATAACTCTCCCACTTGAGTTTTGAGTTTTATGAAGCAGTGTGATGGTTAATGGTATGCTGCAAAACAGCATCAAGAATATCAAATATAAAGGGGATCTTTTGCTATAGTGATGCATTGATGGTTTTCACTAAACTAGTCCATAAGTAGGGAGTGCCCGCTGATGCAACGGCTTATGGTTGTCTAGAGTTGTTTTTCATGCACATAGATGTTTTCTAGACAAACACTGCTTCGACGCTTGGTCTCGGGAAATAATTAGCTTGTTCATTGTGTGCAGAAGTTTGAATTTCTGCCTTGAAGAGGAACTGACGTTAGCTAAAGCAGGTCAATCAGAGAGAGAGAGAGAGAAGAGAGAGAGTGAGAGCGAGCGAGCGAGCTAACGCTAGAGCAGCCGCACTGTCTGCTAGCACTGCAGCCGTATGTGCTTTTATCTGCCTCCAATGCTAAACTTCACTTATTAACGCGACTGGGGGAAATATAATGCATTCGATGCACATTTTTGAGTGTTCGTAACTCTATATTGCCAGTTGGGGGGAGTTTGCATCAGTGCAGGACGGTGTTATTTGTTTCAGATCAGAGCAGTTGAGCTGAGTTAGCTTAGCTATAGCGAGCAGCCAGCGAGCCCAAGTTCCTTCAAGCTCCTTTGCGTTTCGCTGTCAAGATGCCTGCGATGTTGGAGAAGGGCACCGCTGAGATATCGGGTAAAAGAAGGGGCAGAAACTCTGTGAATAATCCGGCCAAAAGTTTTACTTCAAATGGGAACAGCAACCATTCATGGGAGGAAGGAAGTTCGGGTTCCTCAAGTGATGACGAGCATGGTAAGTCATGGTGGTAGCCTCGGTCGCTCTTCACAAGTTCATACACTTCTGATGAATGTAATCAGTTCATCTTATTTGTTCTTTTGTCACTCACAAGGTGCAGGCGGGATGCGAGTTGGACCGCAGTATCAGGCAGTTGTTCCTGATTATGATCCTGGTTTGTGGCTTTTGAGTGTTGGAAGGTTCATTGACAACACAGGGTAGATGGCGTAATAGCCTCAAACACTGTCCGGAATAGTTCGTCCGTTTAGTGCACATCATGTTTAAATTTTTTTTTTTTTTGTCTCGCTGGCAACCTACATTGAAAGTGGTCGATTGTTGTTATGAAACTAAAACAAAAACTAAATATAAAATAAAAAAAACTTTAGTTGGGTGACTATAGTTTGAAACTTGAGGTGATGATAATGAGCACCTGATGTGTCAATCATTGGCTGTATATTTGGTAAGAAAACTGCATTCATCCGGCATTTAAAAAAAAAAGAAATATGTAATTCTGATCTCATTTAATTTGTTTAATTTCCCTAAACTTTAAACATTTCATTTTTATTGTTACTTAAATATCAAAAGATTTGGTTTCTTGGATTTATTAGAAGCTCTGTAGGGAAAGGTCTTTGAGTTTAAAAAATGCTATTAGTATTAACATTGATTTAGTTTGAAATCAAAATAGATGGATGCATTCTTGTTTAATCCACTAATGTCTCTCTCTCTTTTCATCAGAGGTAGCAAAGGCAAGCCAAGAGAGAGATAATCTGGGAATGCTGGTGTGGCTTCCAAATCCAAGTATACCAGAGGCCAAATGTGAGTCATTTATGAGTATGTTAATTTGCTCTATAAATATGAAAAGTTTTTTTTAATGTATATTGGCACTCCATGTTACACAGTGGTATTGTTCAGACACTTCTGTTGTGTGATTCATGCAAAAAAAAGTGAACACACTCAAAATGTTGATCCACTTGAGCATGCAGACTAGCCCGAAATGGCATCATTAGCCAACAGTTAAGTCTAGCACTGGACTTTTTGTCCAGCCAATGGAACAGATTGTGTTCAAAATGAAACACTGGCTTCCTATTACTGTATAATACTTTCTGTTTTTTAGAAATGGTATGTGAGATACGCATCGATTCTACAATTTGCATAGAATATTAGTAGTTTGATAGTATGCTGTTCCAGAGGAGACGAGAGCAGTGGATTTATTGATTTATTTACTGTATATTACGCTGCTGCCACACAGATCTAATATAAACATGCAATTTCTTTCCCAGCTGTTTACCTTCACAGACATAACCGACTGTTTTTGTAACTCGTGTTTTTAACAAACTTGTGTGTATTTGACAGTTTAAGTGTAATAAGACATGAAAGAGAACTTAGTTTAGTACTCATATGCTGTGTGACAGCCGCTTTCTGTACGTGTGCTTCAGAAGTGTGCACTCAGAAAACCGTATATCAGAAGTTTAAACTAATATGGTTTAAAAC